GTCATAAACATTCATAAAGACTCCTTCATGTTCATGACAGATGTTATGTCAGTCTTATGCACACCCCTTCAAATAAAGTGTTACCAGAAATGTTACTTAAAAAGACATTTATGTGAATCACTATCATATTATCTCCATTTTCTTATATTATCTTGCTTAATGGACTTTTTTATGTATTTACTACAGGTGACACCTCTTGCAGTGGGTGTCAGCTCCTTTGCTGCAGCAAGCTTTGACAGATGGATTTATGTGATTGGTGGTGGTCCTAATGGAAAACTAGCCACAGATAAAGTTCAGTGCTGGGAACCAGGAACAGACAGCTGGGAACTGCGGGCACCCATCCCTATAGAAACCAAATGCACCAATGCTGTTACATTCAAGAACTGCATCTACGTCGTTGGTAAGTTTGAAGTATCTAAAAATAAACAGTTAGATGTTACTTGAGATGCAAAAAAAGATATTATCCGAGGTGTGAAAACTTAAACAGCTTAATGTGGCACAAAGATAATATTCCAAATGTTTTTTGTAAAATGTTTGGTCATTATGTATTTGAAACCAGTACAATGTAAAAATGCTTAAACAGGGTACAGCAAGACTGAGAAATCCTGAAGTTTAAAATTAAAAATGAAAGGCTGTATGAAGAAAGAAAACTGAATTTTGCAATTATTTGCAATGCATAGAATGCAATGTCAAATTCTTCATGTGCAAGGCAAAGTCCATTAAAACAGTAATGTTGCTGCTAAGAACATGGCGATGTGTGAAATTTGCCACTGCATTCAGAACTGTTATTTGGCACTTCAGCATGCAGATTCTGAAGTGCTGTGGCTGTTTTTAGCTCATTTCTGTGAAAGCTGTATCAACATGGCTTGATGTTGGAAATTGTTTGCTATCTTTCCCAGATTGGCATAATATTGACAGTGTAAAAGCCAGCTTAGACTTATTTCAATGCAAACATTTGGCTTAAATTGCAGCAAAGTCAGACATATTAACAAAGGCTACATTCCCCTCAGAGGAAGTTCTGCTTTTGCATTTGCACTACAGGACAACCAGCATGCACAGGTGCAAAAGTGGAACACAGCATTCACAGCCTCAGGAAAGGCAAACCATTATCTCACCAGTTCTATGCCAAACCACATTCTCTGCAAAATTTGCAAGAGTCCAGGCACCGAGATATCTTACTTTCAAATGAGAAAAGTAACCCAACCAAACATTTGCGTAATTAACAATGTTCAAACATTCTGCAAAGAACGTGTCCTTCAAAACAGCTCAAAATTTCAAACAGAGAAGTTATCCGTATCTTTATTGTGTTGGTGGCATCTAAAGATAAGAACATTTAAGATTTTTATTGTAGTATTTTTATTACAGTTTTATTTCATTTGACTGTAGTACTTCTGCTCAACTTTTGCATTGTGCATAAAAGCAAGAAAATAATATTTATACACTACGTACTGGCCAGTTTCTGCAGCTTTATTAATTTTATTCAGCGGGTATACTATTGCAGAGCAGAGCATAAAATAGGTATCATTGCTGACTAGGCTTTTTAAAATTATGCTACACCAGTGGTTCCCAAACTTTTTCTCCTGGGCCCCCACAGTGGTTTCCAAAGTATTTCTGCCTCCCCCTATGGCTTACAAATAGCTGTCTGGTTGAACGATGTTTGTCAGTGAAGGAGGTGGATTCTTAGAGACTCCCTGAAGCGGGGTGGGGGAAATCAACTTTTTTGGGGACAAAATGAATCGTAGCTGAATATAGACAACAACACCAGTAGCCTACAAGCTACTTGTTAACAAACTTAAGGTGCTGTATTGATATTAGCTAGCTAGTCATCTTTTAGCTATCATTACCTGTATCCAACAGTTTTATTCAACTCAGTCGGTTAGTTTGGGGGGGAAACTGTGAAAAGTTCTTTGCGTTTTGCTGGTTTGCTGCCATGATTCTAACACACCTGCGTAGCTCTGCACAGCAGCAGCAGGTCTCCTTCACTGCCGCACAGGTCTACACCTAGCGCGAGCGTCATATTAAACAGTTTTAACTGCTGATAGAAGTGACAGAGGACACAGATATGGGAAGTGCGGAAGACCCTACTGTATCAAAATGACAGATGAATAACAGAGAGTTGGCCATTCTAAGATAAAAACCCAGCGCATACAGCGTTCATGTTTTTTTTTTTTTTTTTGGTTTTTTTTTTTCTTCCGACCGGCTCCCCCCCCCCCCCCCCCCCCCTCATTGGCAGGGCGCNTAAAAACCCAGCCCATACAGCGTTTTTGTTTTTTTTTTTTGTTTGTGTTTTTTTTTTTCATCCAGACGGCTTCCCGCGCCCCCCCCCCCCTGTAATGGCATGGCGCCCCCCCTCGGGGGCGAGCCCCCCAGTTTGGGGACCTCTGTGCTACACTGACTGGAGTCACAAACTTTGACATATTGTTGAGACATTTTTAGATCAGTGGATCAGTGGAAAGTAACATATTATTTTGAAGTGTAAGAAAAATAAAACATGCTTTTCTAATTAAAAAATAATAATTATGTGAAAAGTGCAGTGAGCATTTTCTCACTTTCACTCTTTCACCGTAAATAAAATTTAATGGCAGGTAAAATTATCTGCCATTAAATTTTAGATTAGTTTATAAAATATCACAAACTTTGAGAGCATACCATGCGGCACTGTTGAATACATCCGATGAAAATGACAAGAGAGCAGTAAAGGTAAAGGTAAAGGTAAAGGTAATTTTATTTACATAGCACATTTTCAACAACAAGGCTATACAAAGTGCTTTCCAGAAATTGAAAGGAAATACAAGCAAAATAACAAACCAAAGGAAAGAGAAGAACAAAGAGAAAAATAATCTAATGTTGATCTAAGGTATGTATGTAACTAGGTGCTCCTGTTGCTAAGTATCCTCTGGTCTAATTCCATTTCTGGGTTGGAAGAACAGGAGTCTAAAAAGTAGTCTCGATCCAAAAGTGTCTCTGCATCTAGATGGTGAGTTTCTGAAAAAATAAGCTGAAGAGTGACTAAGTCTTTTTCTGGGTTAAAAGTGAGTACTCCACAGTTTCTAAATAACTGATAATAATCTAAAGATGAATAGCTAAATTCTAAGTTTGTTCTAAGTCCTTTTCTGGGTTAAAAGTGAGTAGTCACAGTTTCTAACAAGTAGTAGTATAAAAAGTAACTAAGTAGTGACTGTTCCTGTAATTCTGGATTCTAAGTTCATTGTAATTCTAATTCTAATTACGTTTCTGTAGCAGTATGAGTCTCTCTGCATAAAAGTTATCTAGGAAGTGTAATGTTGATCTAAATTGTGCGTACTCCACAATTTCTGATATTACTAATAAACTAAAATAATCTTTTTCTGGGTTAAAAAGTCAGTACTCCACAGTTTCTAACAAAATAAAATAAAAGAAGAAGAAAGGACACGTTAGGGCAAATGGCAACATTCAGCCAAAACAAAAGGCAAAATGAGTGAAGGCGGTGACATCACAG